AAATTTTGTTATACGGCAAGAGATAACCAATAGAGCTAGAGCAGGAAAATATCTGGCAAATTGTGGAAATGGGGACAAATTCATTGGGGCTGGCATGAGAGGTCGTAGCCAGAAACTTGAAGCTTAGAGATGCTCTGAAACCCCAGGGTTCTCAGTAAGAGTGGGCAAGGGAGCCATCTGGTGGCCAAATGTGTGCCTAGCGATTCCCTTCTCTTCCCATTCCCATTTCTCCAGCTTGTTTTACTCAGCATTTCCACCTAGTGTTTCTCCAGGGGCCACCATGAGGTTTATGAGTCAATTACGACGACTGTAAACACACTTGCTTATAGATGCAAAGACTAACTTGTGAAAAATGTCAGGTCAAGATATTAATTATCTTCTTTGATTATTTTGTTTTCTCCCTTAGTCTTTTCCATCTACCTGCTACCTAGGGAAAACATCAGAGGCACCAGGATTTGAGGCAGAGTGAAGATGCAGAATGCTGGAGAAGGGAAAGAAAGAGCTAGAACTTGATTATAACAAATCAGAGTTACACCCCAGGAAGCAGACTCCAGCTGGCCATTTTCTAATTACCAGGGGAGGCGTTTGTTCATTGATGTCAGCCATGACCGTTGTCCTTTTCCGATCTTTAGAGCCTTCTTCTATCCTCAATATTCCTCCCAAATAATGTCCAGGAGTTCTGGAATAACATCCCTCAATTCTACAGAGCTAGAAGAAAAAACCAACACTACTACTAGCCACAGCCAGCCTGAGGCTGGTGGTCCAGAAAGACCCAGGGAGGGAGAATTGCAAAGAAACTGAAATGTGCCTTTGGAATAAATTACTGATGGTGGAATTTCCGGTAGACTTTGAAAAAATTGTTTTCTTTTTTCTAAGAGAAGGGCCTTCTTAGCTCAAGTACTACATTGTCCAGAAAACTTTCTCCATCCTTTCTTCTACATTAAATCTATCACTTCTCTTTTCTCCTGCTTTCACAACAGGACTCACTGCTTTGTATTATGGCTGAGGCAAGTCAGCATTCCTGTTGAACTAACAGAATCCACCTTGTTCATCATGAGGCTGTTTCACAGTCATTATTTTAAGAAATGGGTATTGTGCTGGGTCTTATGTTGAAAGATGTGGATTCTGCCCTCCAGAAAGAAATAGACATGCATGCATTCATTCAACGAGCATTTGTTGGGTACCTACTTTGTGCTAGATGCTGGACATACAGAAGTTAAAGTTAGTTCTCTCGGGACTCTCACAGTCTAGAGAGAGGAGGAGGTGCCAAGTAAACAGACAGTGACTTTGCCTGTGCCAAGTGCTGAGGTGGAGCAAGCACATGGAACCGAAACGGAAGGGTACCTAATTCAGATTGTGGCTGCTGATGGGGGAGGTATCAGAGAAATCTTCCCAAAGGGATGATATCTGAGCTGAGTTCTGTAGGAAGAATAAGAGTTGGCCAAGTAAAGAACGTGGGGAAGAAAGTCTATAGAAAGGCACAGTAATGGGAGAAGGCGTGGTGCAGTTGGGAAACTTCTGAAGTTGAACATACCGGGCCTTTGGCTTTATCCTGGAGTTCACAGGCTGCCACTGGAAACTTACCAGCAGGAGAGTGGTCTGAGTAGGACAAAGAGGGGCAGGAGGGAAGAGAGTGGAGGGCGGGGGGCGGGGAGTGAAGGTGGCCTCCCCCGGAATTCAGACCTGGGGCTGGGTCAGGAGATGGAGAAGTGGGGCCTTCAGAAGCATGAGAGACCAAGGAGAGTTCTGGGAGAAGACTCATCCTAAGACAGGAGAGGCAGAGTCCAGCAGACAAGCCTGGCCCAGCCACAAAGCCGAGCCCATTCCTCCAAAGGATGGGGGTTGGGGGTGTGTGTGTGAGGGGGGAGGTAGGGAGTGGGGGTGGGGGGAGAGTTCTGAATACAGCTTAGTGGTATGTGTGGGATTTGGGTCTGTCTACATTCTGACCTTTCGTGGATTCTTGTCTGATTTCTGGGCTGAGGATGGTGGTGGCAGGGCTTTGAGTAAAAATAAAAATAATAACGACTGGTAATTTTTGACATAACATGCCAGGAATTTCATATCCTTTAGCTCATTTAATTCTTACCACAGCCCTGTGAAGTTGCTACTATGATTATCCCCATTTTATAGTTGGAAAAACCAACCAAGCAACTCATCTGAGGAGAACCCTCCTACCTTACTCATGTTGGGACTGGCACATGACAGGTAACTGAAAAAAGTCAACTAAAGCAGGGAGCTATAATATAAGCTATATAAGCATTTACTTTTATTTTGAGATAATTATAAATGTATATGCATTTGTTATAAAAATAATACAGAGATCCCATATACTGTCCCCTAATGGTAACATCTTACGACCCTGTTTTACAGAATGCCCATTATGTGCCAGATACTGCTCCAGGCACTAGAGACATAGATATGGGAAACATTAGCTGACTGAAGCCATGAGAGTGAGTGCGATCCCAGGGTGGTAGACAGGAACCCCAGCAGTTGATGGGCAGGAAGAAAAGTCTAAGGAGACTTTGCAGTTAGAAAGAAGAGTAGAAGAGAGTGGTGTCATGAAAGCTTAGGTGAATAATAGTGCCAAGAAGAAAGAGTAGTAAAGTGTCTAGTGCTGCAGAAGCTACCTTTGGGGGGGGGGAGGAGAATGTCCATTGGATTCAGTAGCCAGGACATCACAGGTGAGCAGGCAAGTGGTATGGAGGGAAGCCGGACCACAGTGCAGTGAGGAGTGAGTTGGGTGAGGAAGCAGAGGTAGAGTATAGCAAAGTTTCCAGCTAGAGAAAGGAAGGGGGGGGGGGGAAAGTAAGGTCAAAGGAGAAATTTTCCATGGATTTTGTCGCTAGGAGTAAGAGTCAGCGAGAGTGAGGATTTCAGAGCCCATTGGACAGAAGCACAGCTGAAATTCCAGGCTGGGCGCCTTTTTTTCTGAAAGAAGATCGTTGGAGGATGAGATGCAGACGAAGTTCTCTGGCTGTTTGGAGAGGAAAGTGATTATTTCCAGCTGGGGCAATCAGGGAAGGTGTACAGACATGTGACTGCCACTTAGACGAGTGGGTTGGATTTGGGCAGAAGCAAGGGTGGGGGAAGGGCATTCCTCCGTGCTCACAGCACAATGAAAGGAGACAGGAATATAAGGGGCATTTGACGGTAACAATGGAGGGGTTAAGTTGGCCAATGTTAAGAGGTTCCTGGAGAGTAGCAGGGGACGAAGCCAGTAAATACGGACTAAGGTGGGTATGGTTGCGGGGGATAGAGTCAGATGACACATGAGGTTCAAATTGCAGCTCCCGGTGGCTTTTTAGCTGTGTCATTAAAGACGTTCCTTTACACGTCTCAGATTCCTCATCTGTAAAATGGCGATAACCCTAATAGGGTTGTTGGAAGAGGACTAGATAAGATGATGCCTATAGAGACGAAGGTCCAGTGCCCGGAGCCTCAGTACATAAGTGCTAACCTTCGTCGTTAATACAAAGCCATCGGATGGGTGCTTTAAAGGAGATTAACTGGTCACGCGGTGTAAAGTAGATTGAGCTGGGAAAGTCCTGCACAGGACCTTGTGCACAGTAGCTACTCAGGAAACACTGAACGGCATTCTCTGCTAGGCATGGGGCATACAAGTTGTTGCTTCTGCCTTTCCTGGGCTCTCTGTTCCCAGGGGTGACAGCCACGTAAGTGCCAAAGTTGGGGGAGAAGAGGATGAAGACGTAAATTCTTCAGTTTAGCTTCTCTCCAGCTGTTCCTTGCCGGAATCTTTCAGGGCGAGGCGGGGCAGCGAAGGGCAGGGTCCCCGGGGCCGTGCTCCTAGGGCTCCGCAGGATTTTGCGAATCGCTGTCGGGAGGACAAGGAACTCTGCCCCGCTGAGGAGGGAAAGGCGCGCAGGCGCTGTGCTGACGAAGGCGCTCACCTGTGCTGGAGTGGGCGGAGCTAAGGCCGGAGCGGGGCCGGAGGCGGGGCGGGCGCGATGACGTCATGGGCACGCCGCCGCCGCGCGATTCGCGTCCCGGAAGCGGCCGCAGAGGAGGAGGAGGTGGGGTGCTCAAACCTGCAACTTTAGAACGGCCTTGGGAGGAGGCGCGACGTCGGGGTGGGGCGGGCCTCAGGAAACGCTCCGGGGCCTAGTGGCCCTACCGGTGCCACCTGGCCGTCCCTGCCCCTTCCCCCACCAAGCCAGCGACCGGGTAGGCGAGGTGCCACCAGCCCCTTCCCCCGCCCCTGTGTTTCCGCCGTCTGTGCGGAGTTGGACGCCTGGACGCCGCGGGGGCCGCCTCCTGCTGGCCCAGCGACCTTGGGCGTGGCCTCCCTTGCAGGCCCCGCGGTCAAGGCCCCTGCCGGCGCTGACCTGCTTCACACCTTCCTGAGCTCCTACCTTGCGCGCACCTTGGGTCCTTTCGCCTTTGTCACCCTCCCCCCCGTTTGTCCCGTCTCAGCTCATTGCCAGGGACTGGTTTATGTTGCTGTTTGTATGTCGCCCCCTCGTTTGCTGCTTAGCGTTCTGGGTAAGACTTTTAAATTAGGAAAGAGCGTGGGCATTCCTGTGGTTCTCATCAGAGAGGGGTGATGGGATGGGGTATTACGGAGAGTGACGACTGCCCCAGGAGCAGTGATGTCCCAGGAAGTTGTCAGGAACGGAAGGGAGAGGGAAGGATTAGAAGATGGGGCAGGGCAGGAGAGAGCACGGGAGTCCTGGAGGGTGGGAGTTCGTTCACTCATTCAAGCATTTATTAAGCACTCACTGTGTACAGAAACTGGTGAATGGAGGACAACTCAGTTAAGAGGGGGAGACAGGGAAGAAAACAGGGAATTTTAGTTTGGTGTGATAAGTGCTCTGTTAGGGTGAGTACATGATTCTTTGGGAGCGTTGGGGGGGGTCTCCTTGTCCAGAATGCTGACGCTAGCAAAGACTTCTCAGAGCAAGGGAGTGATGTTTAAACTGTTACTTGAAAGATGAGTAGGAATTAACAAGGTAAAGAGTGGGAGAAAAATATTCCAGGACATCATTTCTCTTGAGACCTGTCTGAGGGCTGTCTGCCCCCAGCAACCATGTGTGCTTGGTCTTTATGGTTTATAGTCTGGATGGCTCTGAGGAGAGGAGCACTGGATAGGGAGTCCGAAGAACAAGATTTGATATCTGAGTAATTCACCTTGCTGAACTTCAGTTTACTCCTCTGTGAAATGGGCATTCCACATGTAGCCCCGCGTATGTCACAGGTACAATGCAAATGTCTGGAATTATTATGGTTACAGGATGCAGACATCAGAGCGTGAGGGAGGTGGGCCAGAGGTGAGCCCCAGCGTGATGCCTGAGGCTCCCCCAGAGTCTCCACCTGCCCCTACCAAGTCTCCAGCGTTTGACCTCTTCAACTTGGTTCTCTCCTACAAGAGGCTGGAGATCTACCTGGAACCCCTGATGGATGCAGGTGACGGTGTTCGATACTTGCTCAGGTACAGACTTTGTGGAGTTGCTCTGGCCTGCTGGGCCTTCTGCTTACCTGCTATGTACTAGCACTTGCCATTTAGACAGTGGCCGGGCTGTCCTAGTGAGAAGTAGTTCTGGTAGGTTCAGCTTTTGGATTTATCCAGACCCACCCTTTGTCTTGGGCCCAGCCCAGCATAGGCAGGTAATGGCAGTGATCTGACCTTTCAACAGGGGGCTTCTTTTGTGACTGAATAAGCTCTTTAGGACTGTTAGCCTTGAACATCAGGCCTTCTACAACTGAGAACAGGCTTAGTTTTTTTCCTTCTCTCCCAATGTTAGCATTAACTCATATTAAAGTTAAGGTATAAAAAGAAAAGCTAAAGAAATACAAGTACCTGTGAAAAAGCAGGTATCATTTTCACTAATCCTTTGGGATTATGGATCTCAAATTTTTTTCCTATTCTACTTTGTTTTTCATTCTCTGTAATTTTCTTTTTTCTCGTTTCTGCTCATTTTATTTGTTATATTAAAAGTATTTTAAGGCCGGCCCGTGGCTCACTTGGTAGAGTGCGGTGCTGATAACACCAAGGCCACGGGTTCGGATCCTATATAGGGATGGCCGGTTTGCTCACTGGCTGAGCATGGTGCTGACAACACCAAGCCAAGGGTTGAGATCCCCTTACCGGTCATCTTTTAAAAAAAAAAGTATTTTAAATTATAGATATATGGCATTCCACTCCCTAAATACTTCAGTTTGTGTCTGTAAATAATTAAGGACATTTTCTTTCATAATTGGAGTAACATCAGACCTAAGAAAATTAACGATAATTCCTTGATATCATCCTTTACTCAGTTCATATTCAGGTTTCTTCAGTTTTCCCAAGAATGTCACATACAGTCATTTTGGCCAAATCAGGTTCCAATCCAGGACTGGGTGTTGTATGTGGTTGTGATGACCCTTAAGCCTTTTTTTTTTTTTTTTTTGTCCTTTTTGAGACCGGCCGCACCGCGCTCAGCCAATGAGCGCTGTGAGCGCACCGGTCATCCCTATACAGGATCCGAACCCGCGGCGGGAGTGCTCCTGCGCTCCCAGCGCCACACTCTCCCGAGTGTGCCACATGCTCGGCCCAAGCCTTTTTAAATCTAAGACAATCTCTTCTTTCATGATTCTGGCTCACTGAAAAGACTGAACTGACTGTCCTGGAGAATTTCCTATCTAAATTTGTCTGGTTGTTTCCTCGTGGTGCAAACTGGATGTTAGATTTAAAGGTTGGATTAGATTCAAGTTAAAAAAGATTTTTTTGGGTAAAGGTAAATGTTGTGTCCCTAGTATCGAATCACATCAGGAGTCACGTTAAAGCTGGTTGTCCTAAAGAACAGAGGTTCTTAACTTGGAGCCTGTGGGTGGGTTTTGGGGGTTAGTGAGTCCCCTGAAACTGCATGTAAAATTATGTGTGTGCACACATGTGCATTTCTAGGGAAAAGCTTCTAGTTTTCATCAGATTCTTATAAAGACCTTCAACCCTCTAAAATGCCTGAGGGAGACTGGTAGGAGGTGGGGGAGTGCAGTTAGGTTAACCGCTAAGGGTGTTATTGAGATTTGTCCTTGCCTCAGTCTGGAAATAGTGGGCAATTTATTAATAACTCTCTGACCAAGGCCCTAAATTTTTCTTGTTCACCCCTTTAATTTATGGCAGTATCCCTAGAGATGAGCCAGTGTTCCAGAGCGATGTTTTCTACTGTAAGATACTGAGCTCTTGGCACAAGGGGTAGGGAGATGGTATGAGGGGGGCTGTTTTCTCATTTTACAGTCCCAGCATGACCAACTAGCTGATATAAACTTTGGTCTTCCTTAGGGTGGGAGGTGGACCATGGTGCTGTGCTTTGTGGTGTTTTCCCTTGTGTGTGCGTGTAGGTGTGTGTCCTTTTGTGGCAAAGCACAAAAGTTAAATATACCCTGCCTTATGTTCCTCCACTGGTCTATAGGGTTTCTTGGCACACTAACGTGTTAGGAATTTAACATTTTATGGGATTAGAAGTCTGAGGATGTGGTAGAATTGGTTAAAGCTTGATGGAGGAGGAGCATTGGACCTAAAAAGTCCCCAAGAGCCTGTGGTCTTTGTGCTACTGGGAGAGGGAGCACTGGTCTGTGAAAGTGGCTGTCAGATTAGTTTGTGCTTTTGATTGTTCTTTTCTTAGTAAAGAGGATTTGACTTTGAAGAGGGACCTAATCTTGGGCTTTGGCTATTAGGTCTGAAACCTAGAGCTGCAGTAAATTTTTAAAAGACTCTCTTCTGGGATCAACTGCTCCACTAGGTGGGTCTCCCAGGACCAAAGTGCCAGTAAAGACATTAGCTAGAAGGGGAGAGGCTTTAAAATGAAAGTGACTTCAGTGTCGGTGTGATGTTTTTATTTCTGAAACTGGATTGGCTTTAGACCTGGCATTTATTTTGCTTTTACCCTGGTAGCTGCCACCAAAGGTTCTGAAGCCTAATTAGGGTGGTACAAGTAGAGTGTGTTGAATTGCAGGAGAAAGGCAAATAGAGGTCATTTCATTCCCTCATTCATAATTTTTATTAGAAAGTAAAAATCCCACAGAAATCAGTTAACCTCACTTAGTAACTCTGAAATACTCCAATTAGAGCGTAAGAAAATACAAGCGTACTTCAAAGTTTCGTGGAAAGATTCATATTATCTTTCCGTTCTATTTTTCCACACACTTTTTGAAGTACACTTGTGCCTTTAAGTTCCGAATGCGTTGTTTGCTAGCAATTTACCTGTTAATTTTCCTGATATTTGTCTCTGTCCTCTGATGGCTCACTTTACATATACTGACACTGTCTTTAGAATTTGGGTGTCAGTGACTTCGTTACTACATCTGCGCTCCTCTTTCCCTACTAAATGTCCCTTATCAGGGACTAAGCCAGCAGCATTTGCTTGTCTTCAGCAACCCAAGGCTCTGGTCTTTCTTTCCTCTTTGGGAGCTTCCGCACTGCCATTTGGTGGTGGTGATGGGGCTGCGTTTGTGTTTGCTTTGGTCCGTTCAGTTCACTTAGGGTGTGTTTGCTGACTGAATGTTGCTCCCTAGTTTTGTCTTTATTTTTGAATATGGAAATATGATTTTTTTTCTCCTTTTGAATTAATACATGTTCAAAATAAACTCTCAAACTCTCAAAATTACAGACATAAGAATATAAAGTTGCAAATAAGGTCAAAGTAGTCCACACTTTGTTCTTTCTTGATTTCTATATTAGATGAATTTTGTGCAATCATTATACGTTTTTATAAAATTGTAAGAAAGAAAAAGGGAAAATATTAAAGAAGAATGTTTGTCAGCTTCACCTCTTAAGGAGAATACAGCCTTACAAAACACAGGTTAAACATTATTATCTGGGTTTCTTAGCAGCTATTTTAGAAATTCTTATTCCTTCTGGGAGAAAGTTCTACAGGTATCAAGTTTTCTCTCCGCAGAGGCTAAAGTGTGACCTCTTAACTCCTCTCCTGGTCACCTGTCCCCGGGAGAGGCCCATTTGTCATTTCTACTTGATCCTCTGTGTTCTAGGCCTCCTCCTGTCCTGGTTTTGATGTCCCCTCTGTGCCACCTTGTCTCCCCTCCCTGGTTGGAGGAATGGCTGTCCGTAGTGATCAGGACTCTCTGTGTTGTAGGTGGCAGACGCCTATGTGTTCCTTGCTGACCTGCCTGGGCCTCAACATCTTGTTCCTCACTTTGAATGAGGGTAAGAACTACTTCCGGGGGCCAGCAGTTTTTTTGTGAATGAATGTGGGGGAGGAATACTGAGAAGGCCCTGGCTCCTCTTGCCCTGGAACTGGCTTTCTGCTGTGCCTGCTTGGTGTCAGAACAAAGGTTCCCCAGAGACAATCCAGGCTGAGCTGCCATGTGACCTTGGGCAAATTATTGACCTGTCTGTTAAGGCCTGATTTTCCTCTTTTCTAAAGGGAGGATAATAATAGTGCTTTTCTCATAGGGTATTTGTGATGAATAAAATAGTCTATGTATAGCATTGAGCACAGTGCCTGCCACAGAATAAACAGCCAATACATGACAGCTACTAAAGAATGGCAAATGAAAAGAAAAAAAGAAAAAAGAAAAAAATACGTGACAGCTGCTGTTACTATTATTGTTTCCTTTTTGATTGATTGCTGATGCATTGACCTTTTTCCATTTTGGTTTCCAAACTGACTCAAGGATCATTTAGGGACATGGCATGGGGTAAAGGTACTAGGAAAGATGAACTGATAAGGGATTTTTGCCATATCTGTTGGTTTCCTCTGGTTCAGCTGGGCAGTCACAGCAATGAGGGGTGGCATGAAGCCTTGAGATAGAAGTGTGGACAGAAGAGATGGTGACGTTTCCTGTGGACCTTTTATTACAATGAATGCTGTGATCCAGCCCTTTCCCTGGTTGGAACTGGCAGGTGGCTGCAGAAGAAGCAGAAAACCTTGGGGGAAATGAGTGAAGGGTCTGGGACAGAATGTTCCGAGGAGCTGGTCCTTTATTCAAGTATTCTTTCTCATATCGAACTCATATTTCTCAAGGGTCTCCTTTGTTTCTTATGGAGATATGGATTCAGTGGGTTGAAAATAAACCAAGTTCACACAAGATCTCATCTTCTGTTTCTTAGTTGGACTCTTCTTTGTCTGATCAAAACTTCCCAGGATGCTAGATTTTTCTGAATATATTTCCAAAGTAAATCAGTTCATATGACAGATATTTAACAAGTGTTTACTATGGTCCTACTGCTCTGTTCACTCGCTGTTGAGGTGCCATGTTACATGAAAGTTCTATCTTTGAGTTTTATCTCAGCCTCACCATTTCTCAATCCACAGTTGTCTGTGGTGTACTGACAGCCAAAGGAGAGGCTTCTAATCTGCCTTAGTGGCCCAAAGGTCCAAATGTCAGTCATTGGGAGCTCCTAGCAACCAGACTCGAGCATGAGCTGCCTACTGTGTGCTAGCAGTGTTTTTAAATGTATTAAAACACAACTAGGGCTGCATCAGTGACCAAACAGACAAAGTCACAGCCCTCAGGAGCTTACATTTGTGGAGGAGACAATGAAGATGCCTGTAATCTGTCAAGTAGTGATAAGGTCTGTGAGGAAAAATAAAGCCGGGTTAAGGGGGCTGGAGGGTAGGGGTGAGATACTGTGTCATACAGGCTGATCAGGGAGGAGGTCAGGGAACGGCCGTCTGGGGACAGGCTCCTGGTCCTTGCTTATCTGTGTTACCTGCAGCTTTCTTGATCCCATAGGTGCATGGTACTCGGTAGGTGCCCTGATGATTTCAGTGCCCGCCCTGCTGGGCTACCTTCAGGAGGTTTGCCGGGCTCGGCTGCCAGAGTCTGAGTTGATGCGGAGGAAGTATCACAGCGTGAGGCAGGAGGACCTGCAGAGAGTTCACCTGTCTCGCCCTGAGGCCGTGGCTGAGGTGAAGAGCTTGTGAGTATGGAAGGGAGGCCAGGAGGTGGGGAGCAAGCCTGTTACAACAGTAACCGCAGCCGCTGCACCGAGTGCTTGCTGTGTGCACTGGACATTGTATCAGGCAAACCACAGGCGTTATTTCATTTCATCTTTTAACTGTTCTGGAAGATACCTACTATTGTTATCCTCCGTTTACAGATGAAGAAAAAGGCTCACATAGCTAGAAAGATCACGCTGGCGTGAGAATCGAGATCTAGCTGACTTTACAGCTTGTGGTCTTTGTTCTAATGAGACAGTTTAGGGTCTTGATGAAGCACATGCATGCATGAGCTGCTGCCTGGGTTCAAATCCCAGCTCTTCCATCTACTTGCTGTGTGACATGGGGCAAGTTGCTTAGCCTCCCTGTGCCTTAGGTTTCTCATTGGTGAAATGGGATGATAATAGGGCTTACTCCTAAGGTGGTTCTGAAGATTAAAGGAGTGTCTGGTACCCAGGAAGTGTTCAGTAACTGTGAGTCATCACCACTGTACTGTGGAGAAACTTCCTAAACATGACAGAGCTGGTACTTCTGAGGAAGCATCTTAAGACTGTTGAATAATATTAACTAACAACTTCAGTGGCAGCTGGCATTTACTGATTCTTTTCCTGGACCGCGCTCTATGTAGGGTTTTGACACACAGCAGAGTAAGAAAAATTATAAACAAACGGATGCCTGGGCCTCACCCTGGAGATTCTGAGTCAGTTACCTGGATTGGGGTCTGGGTATTTGGTTTTTTAAAAAACTTTTTTACTTTGAAATAATTTTAAACTTACAGAAGAGGTGCAAGAATACCACAAAGAACTCTCATATACCCCTTATCCAGATAGAATAAATATTAATATTTTGCCACTTTGGCTTCATCTCTCTCTCTCTCTGTCTATACACATTATATTCTTTTCCCCGACCATTTGAAAGTAAGTTTGCAAACATGCCTGTTTACCCCAAACACTTCAGCATGTATTTCCTAAGAATAAGAACATTCTCTTATATATCCATAGTACTGTATTCAAAATCAGGAAATTTAACGTTGAAAACATTAACATTAATACTATTATTTAATATATAGTTCATAATCAAATTTTACCAGTTGTATTAATAAAGTTCTTTATGTCAGTCTTCCCTGATCCAGGATCTAATCCAGGATCATACATTACATTTATTTTTTGTGTCTCTTTAGTCTCCTTTAACCTGGAGCAGTTCCTTACTTAGTCTCATGACTGACGTTTTTGAATAGTATAAGCTTATTATTTTGTAGAGTCTCCCTCAATTTTGGGTTGTTTGGTTCCTTGTGATTAGATGCAGGTTATACATTTTTTGGCAGGGATATGGTAAGTATGTGTGCCATCTCTGCATCCCTATCAGGAGGCACATGGTGTCAGGAAGTACTAACTTCGATCACTTGGTTAAGGTTTCTCCACTGTAAGTTATCATTTTGCCCTTCATTTTGTTAGTAATCTGAGGGGAGATACTTTGAGACTGTGTAAATATCTTGTTCCTCATCAAATGTTCACCCACTGCTTTGAAATCCATTGATGGGTCTTGCCATAAGGAAAGGAATCAGTAAATGCCAGCTGCCACTGAAGTTGTTAGTTAATATGAAGTTGTTAGTTACTATGATGGTAGCAAAGGTGACTTTCTAATTATTCCATCTACATTTATTAGGGGGCATCGTATTATAAGAAATCTCTTATTTATTATCAGTATGAACTCATAGATTTTTATTTTATTCAGTGGGTTATAATCTATTACTGTCGTTATTTATTTTGATCTCAAATTCTCATAGATTTGGCCAGTAGGAGCTCCTGTGTTTTTTCAATATGTCCCCTTCATTTGTCAGTGCTTCCTTACTTTATAGTTCAAATTCATCTTATACTTTGCCTGCCCCAGTCCTAGAATCAGCCTTTTCTCCAAGGAACTCTTCAGAAACCCAGATTTGAGTGCAGGATACACTCATGGCTTTTAGAGTGCATCCATGTTTTTAAAAAAAAAAACCCAAAAAACCAAAATTCCCCCAGTAAGTCTACTTTACATCCCAGATAGAGAAACATTAATCTGCATCTGCCATTTATCCTCACAGCTGCTGTGTACCCATGAAGTGGGTACTCTGATCCTCATTTTATAGATGAGGAAGCTGCAGCCCTGGGAAAATTAAGTAGCCTCCTGACACCAACAGCTAGGAAGAGACCAAAGCAGGAAGCTTTATTCTGTTCCCACCTCAGCAAGGGGCTCCAGAAAGGGGACTGTGATATATCTGGGGTGGCATGGCTAGGTCCTTTTCTCCCATGCCCTCTAGACCTCTCAGTGTGTTAGAAGAGATTGGCCATCCCTCACAAACTGTGCCTGCCAGGGCCCAGCTCTGCTTCTCCAGAGCTCCTGGCCTGCCCACTCACAGAAGCACCCTTGTCTGCAGCCTGATCCAGCTGGAGGCCTTGTTGAGCCGCCTGTGCTGTACCTGTGAAGCTGTCTACCGCGTGCTGCATTGGGAGAACCCCACCGTGTCCTCACAGTGAGTGGCTGCTTGCCCCCAACACCACTCCCCTATAGGAGTTTGCAGCTTGGGCCCCAAACAAAGCCAGCTGCCCTGAGAGGGCCCCTGCCCCGAGAGGGCCCCTGCCTCTCCTGCCTCAGGGGAAGAGTGCCTCCTAGGCTCCAGTGTGTAGATCTGCACATATGCTTGTGGCCTGTAATCCACTGCTTTTGTTTAGGCACTTTTATGTGTGAGAAAATCCTTTAAGATGCATAGCTTCATAGGGTATGTGAGATTTTTCTTTTTCTTTTTTAACTTAATCATTATATCATAAGTGGTGTTATTTGTTGCTACATAGCCTTTGGAATTATTTGTAATACCAAACTAATATTGATGGTGAATATATTATAATTTATGGAACCATTCTGTTATATGTTTAGTCAATTTTTACTTTTCTTTACTAATACTGTTTCTCACCTGGTCCCTTGTGTGGGTGTGCTCCAAGCCTGTGTCCCTCTGATCTTATGAATTTCTGACCTTGTGGTTCCCCTCTCATCCAGGTTCTATGGGGCTCTTCTGGGCACTGTGTGCATGCTGTATCTGCTGCCGCTCTGCTGGGTCCTTGCCCTTTTAAACAGCACACTCTTTCTGGGGAATGTGGAGTTTTTCCGAGGTAAGCCCTAGAAAGCCTGTCAGAGAGAGAGCTGGGTGCCCTGGTGGGCTCTGAGGCTAGATTCGGCTCCTGGGTTCATCTGTCTCTGCAATGAATCATATGTTTGCTGTGTCTTACACAAGAGGGCAGCACCACGCTAGGGTCCTCC